ATAAAAAATTTCAGAACTTTTGGACAAAGTCTCAGATCAAAATTCAAAAATATGGCTTTGCTGCAAATGTGGGGTCTTATCGGAAAAATTCACTAAAACCTCGATATCTCACTAGGAACAAGCTAGGGGCACGAACTTTTTTTTTACGGTAGACATAATTCATCAAGGCCTACAAGATGCGCAAAGTCTCGAGTAAAAATCGCTCCAACACCTGGGAATGTTTCCTCGTAAGATTTCGAATTTTTAGTTTGATTTTTCTTGTAGGCTTTTAATTTTCAAGCGAAATTATACTTTTAAATTTTGACCTGAAATTTTGCTCACATAAAGGCACTGATTAGACTAACATATAGAAAAAATTTCAAAACTTGTTGACCAAATCTCTATGAGATACAACATTTTTCAAAATATCCATGTTGTTTATAATACTCATGGCTAAGCGTCCTTATTTTAAAAAGGTTTATATCTCAGAAAGACTTAATGAAAAAATTTTGAAATTGTTTTCTACATGCTAGTATAATAGGTGCCTTTATGTGAGTAAAGTTTTACGTCAAAATTCAAAAAAACAATTTCTCTTGAAAATTAGGGTCATACAGAACGAATACATTAAATACTCGATATCTCAATAATAAAGATCCAGAGAGACTCGAAGTACTCTATGACATTTACTTACTCACTATCTATCGAATGAATACGTTTCCAACTTAAAAATGATTTATTATTTAGAAATCTGCCGTTGTTAGTGTTATTTCATCATGAGATAATGAATAAATATTTTTCTTTTATATATTACAACAAAAATAAAAAAATTTCTATAGATGAAAACTTAAATTTTATATTTTTACCAATATGTATAATATGTCATGTTCAATGAATACACCGATTGTTGATAATTACATCATAGACAAAATAAGCTTTTAGCGTAAATAGAATATAATCGTTGAGACAATTGACTCAAGCATATGATGACGATTATACTAGGTTTTTATTTTTGGTGTGTATATATATATGTATATATATATGTATACATTCTAATTATCTTCGTTGTCATATATATACATATATAGATCTATATGTAAAACAGTAAGAATAAGAAGAACACAAGCGCATTTTGTCACCTTGATTGACACAAGAAAAGAAAAGAATAGGAAGAAGGTATAACTACAATAAAAAAAAAATGAACATACTACGATTCTTTTACTATAGAAGATGAAGGTAATTTAAATTTTCATCACAGATACTGATCCTTGATTTTGTCACACAAGAGTTAATCTTTTTTCCCTCTCTCTCTCTCTCTCTCTCTTTACCTAGAAGATATCGAAAATGATAATGTTCAGTCAAGGACATATCATATTACACCTAAAAACTAATAGATATGATTAATATATAAAGTACAAATTTTCGAGAAAAAAAGAAAGGTTTGATTCTATGATAAAAAAGCTAAAACTTGTGCCTTCTTGCTTGTAAACAGAATTTACATTCTTGTTTAGTATAATAAAAAAAATAAATGCATAGAATAAGATTCGATTAATAAATATCTTGATAAGATAATTATCAAAAAAAAAACAAAAAACAAAATCGTTAACCTTTCTATTTTCTTTTGTCAAAATACAAGTACATAACATAACGTTGAACATTCTAAAAAAAACTTCATTAGACAATTATTCGATTATTTAAATAAATTTTTCAATTGTCAGAAAACTTGTTTGGAAATACAATCATAAACACTAATGGATTTTACTCGAAGGACATGACATGTGCCGTCTCGCCATATTGTGTATAAATTCTTATCGTCTTTTCTCATGTATTACACTGATTATCATCATCAGATAAATATGTCATTCTCGTGTAGACAAAAAATTATATCTGTATCAAAGCATTTTATAGCGTCAAACATACATGCATACATCTATATATATATATATATGATCGACGATCGTATCATCCTTCATCATCAACGGAAGAGATATGGACGAAATAACAAACTCGATAATGAAACGTCATGATTATGATGATTCGAGAAAAAAAAAGCATAAATTTGATGATCTTGAAAATACGAGCCTTCTCAATGTTTTTTTTGGTTTATGAAGAATTAACGAGACACACTATGAAAAACATACATTCGCAATCAGAATCATTATCGCCTGACAACTACACCTTTATAATTGATGAAGAAGAAAAATGTCATCTCGATTTGATGACAAATAGCTAAAGATATTTTTTCTTTATTAGTATTGTTATTTTTATAATAATTATTATTATTTCTATAATCGCTAATCTTTTTCAATATCTCGAAAAAGGTTAATATGATTTGATCTTGCTTTTCGATAACGAATATTTAGGGAAAATCCATAATAGATTGTTTTCCTTATGAAATAATTTAATCGAAATATGAAGAACATTTAATAACTTACGTTTTTCTTTATCGGATGAGTAATGTCCGCTTTTTTTCTTTTCTTTATCTTTGATTTTATTCCTTGTCGTACACTTATTTTTTTTTTACCTACCTCACAAAAAAAAAAAAAGAAAAAAAAACTAAATATCCTTTCTCTCGTCCTTTCCTGTTGCTGCTTCTTTTTTTGTCATCAAATCGATGGTATTCGATGTTGATAATATATGTACACGTATGGCATCTAGGAATGCAAATTTTTAGGATTGTGAAGTATCCATTCTTTTCTAACAGTTTAATCATTCAAAAACACCCTCTGTACTTGTTGATAAAGGTCATAGAAAAAAACAAAAAAAAAAACCACTTTAAAATATACGTACGCATTGTATAAAATGTAATGGTATTGATTCATCTGTGGTTGCACGATACCGATTATTCGTTATGTCGAAGCATATTTCTTTTTCTATGCCACATTTGATGAAGAAGAAGAAAAGCGAGAGAAATAATCGCATTTAATCAACACAAAATGTATTTATGAATATTTATTTGATAATCGATTGTTCAAGGTCGTTAAAAAAAATCCTTTATCTATTTCTTTTCTTCTCTGTATACATTATAAGAAAACTTAAATACTCACCCGTTCATTAATATGATATACAACATACAATGAAAATATAAACTTTTTTTGTGCTCAGTATATACTCTGTATATCTTATTATGGTTGAACAAATTCGAGTATAAATTAGACATGCTCATATAGATGCTCAATGTTATGTACAATACTTAAGAAAATGAAAGAATTCTTATGACATTGAAAAATATAATGCAAAGATTCAACATTAATTTAGAAGAAAAAAAAAAGAAAAAGATTATCAATTCTTTGTCTTCATAGGAACTGTCAAAATTGGAATCATGTTTCTTTTTATACATTTTATGTATGTTGATTATTCAAGATATATGAAGTAATAATGGTTGTATCAGCGATAATATTAAGCATATTAATATATAATGATTTCACACTGAGTAAGTGACGGAGAAAAAAGAAAAGAAGTAAAAAAAAAATATTTTATTAACAATATTATGTATAGATTGACATTCATTGTTGATAATCGATATAGGTGTGATCAATATTTGATCGAAAGATTCGCATTCTAATGAAAACAAAAACTCGATAGTTACACACACATCTATATCATCAGTTATAATGAAAAAAGTCACTGCTACATGTTATGTCTGTCCGACAAGTTGTTAACTTAATACTTTATTCATAATGTGAGAAATTTTTTTTCTTTAATATATGCATATAAAATAGCAACTATAACCATTTAAATTAAATATCTAATCAATGATATGTTAAATCAATATTTAAAAACGAACAAACAGCATACTAATGATATTGACATCATATGTCCTTGAACAACAACCAGCTGCAATAAAAAAAAAAAAAAAAAGAAACTAAATGAATAAGTTATTTCATCGACCTTATATTATTTACTACTTTTTGAATGTCTTATCATATACATGAATAAGAAAAAAGTATAAATACATGTATATGTATCAATCAATTCTATATTAAGAGTAGATGAGTATTAATTAAGAAAAACTACGATATATACATTTTTTTGTGATTGATGAGAAAATCTTTATTTTTATTACTGGACAACTTATCTACATAATAGGACAAATATAAAGCAAAACATTAGATGAGTATTAAAATTTATAATAAAAATAAAAGAGAACTATCGTCCACTACCACCGCCACCAGCAGCAGCTCCAGGATCTGCAAAAGCACCTTGAAGAACAAAAACAACGACTATTGGTAATATATATTTCCACTAGAAAAAAAAAATTGCAAAAGTACTCTGATTTTTTTTTTTTTGTATAAATATTTTTTATTACTCACATATTTGAGTATAAATGGTCGATTATCATTTCCTTGTGTATTTAATTTTGCTTCTCTTTCACGTTTAAGTTTTTCAAGAAAATGTTGTATCTCGGGTCTATTATTAATACAAACAAAAAAAAAAAGAAAAGAAACAACAAACAAGGATTCTAGTTACAAAGAAAATTATAAATTCTATTTTTACTGTGGTCCAAGCTCGTTAAAATGTAAACGTAGAGGAACTTTATATATTAAATCATTTTGTTTTTCCAATAAAGCAATATTCGAAATACTACATGTTGAATTATTTGTTAAAATATTTACACTAACAATATAACCATTTTCACTAATAAATAAATTCATAGTATACTGAAATTCTGCTTGTAAAATAAGACACTAAAATAAATGATTTGAAAGTAAAAAGAAAGGACAAATTTAAAAATCAAAAACAAGAAGAATCTTTACTATTGGTATTGATGTCATTACATAATCTTGTAATGAGCGACGTTTAAAATGAACTTTTAATGTATAATATGAATGTATATTTAATCGATAGTCCTTAAGAAAAAAAAAAAAACAGAAAAGCATTTTTTATTTATAATTTAATTTTTGACGTTATAAATTAAATAACTTCAATTAATCGTTCATATTGTAAAGATGATATCGTGCGTGAAGGTAATAATTCAATATTTGATTGTCTTGAAAGACGCACATTGGTTTTAGCAAATGATACAAATTTTCCATCTATCACATTATCTTCGATACTAAGAGATACAATATCATCAGCTGTATCCTCAAATGTCTGTAAAAAAAAAAAATTAATAAATTTTTTTCAATAAATAAAATTTCGTGTACCAATATGACTTTTAATTGTAAAATAAAAATAATAAAAACAATAAATTTAAACATTTCAGTTGACTACACAATGTACAAAAATAATTCCACGGGAACATTGTACTCGTAGCGACTTATATTTTTTTTCATTCGAGATTCTCTTCGACCAATCAATGCTTATCCATTGGATAGCCACGTTTTGACTTCTTCACTAGTAAAATATTAACTATGGATATGGATAATGAATTCGTAGGAAAAACTGTCATATTAGGAAATAAAGTATATTTAATATATTTGTATTTCAATTGATTGGTAAATTGATTTGTATTTATAGACATATGAACTTGATAAACTTAGTCCGGAAGAACGTTTTCGAGTTCGACATGAAGCAATACATGAAAAACATAAAGGACATGAATCAATGCATTTGGAAATGGTACTTGTTCTACTTATTTCACTTGTTGTTTGTCAATTTTTATTATTATTTTGGAGAAATTATCATCTGCGATCTTATCAAGTAATAGTTCAAAAGTGTTTTTAAATGTGATATTATTTTTTTTTTCTTTTTTAGTTTTTTACTCTTATTGCAATGTGGTTAATTCCATTTGGTTTATCAATTCATTTTTTTTATATTCGTTTTATTATAATTTGGTGTTGTTTCACAATTATAACAGTTTATGTTACACGTCGTGCAACACGACAACCTATTGAACCAAATACACCAAGGCAAAAAAGCAACAATATTAATTTTTTTTAAAATAATAAAAATTATGTTTTTATTTTAATAGATTAGTTTATAAATGGTTTCTTCTTATTTATAAGATCTCATATGGACTGGCCATTAGTGGTTATTTTCTTGTAATGATGACTTTTCTTGGTATTAATAATCTTCTATTAATATCTCCACAAGTAAATATCTTAATATGCATGATGAACTTTAAAAAATTAGTTGCCTATTGTAGACTGGACTTGATTTTGGAATATTAATTATGTTTTATGGAATATATTATGGTGTACTTGGAAGAGATATGGCTGAATCATGTACTGATCGAATGGCATCGAAAATTGGAGTACGATATTTTTGTAAAAAGAAAAAAACTAATAATAAAATTCAAAGTGTTTTTTGATTTAGTATTATTCCGAAACAGGTTTACCTAAACGAGCATTAGAATCGAATACATGTGCTGTTTGTGCTAATCCAATATTAGTACAAAATAATGAAGAAGCATTAATTGAACAAACATATAAATTACAATGTGGTCATACGTAAGTATTATGATATTTGTTTGATTTTTTTTTTTTTGAAAATTTTCTTTTAATTTAATTTGATTAGTTTTCATGAATGGTGTATACGTGGTTGGTGTATTATTGGAAAAAAACAAACATGTCCGTATTGTAAAGAAAAAGTAGATTTAAAAAGATTATTTCCTAATCCATGGGAGGTATGTTAAATAAAAAAAAAAAGTAATATTCATAGTTTGTTTCTCTTTTTAAATTTAGAAACCTCATGTACTCTATGGAAATTTACTTGATTGGGTTCGATATTTAGTTGCTTGGCAACCATTAATTTTAATGATTGTACAAGGTGTTAATTATGTACTTGGTCTTGAATAGGTGAAATAATATTTATGTCAATTATGAGTTACATAGACAATTTTGTTTTTATTTCATTCTATGTGTTATCATTTGACGATATATATAGGAATATAAATATATATATTTTTTTGATTAATGTCAAATGTATTCAAATTTTTGTTTTTTGCAGATTTTATTTAAATAATGAATATTAAAGATCAATTAAGTAGTTTGGGATGGTCAATAAAAATAGATTTTTTTGAAAAAAATACACAAGAAATTGATATTAATGGAAAACAATTACTTGATGTGAATATATTTTTGTTTTTTTTTAAACTTTCTCCTCCCCCTCAAAAATCGATTTCGCGCCATGTAAATTCCAATCGTCGGATGAAGTACAGAACCCGTTTTTTTGGGTGTGGGTACTTTTTAAGTGGAGAAAAAGTAGGACAAATTCAATGACTCAAAAACACTCTATCAAAATGAATCTTTGTATATGTATATAATGAAAACAAAGCTTAACTTAACAAAAGAGACTTTGTACTGTGTTACACATTGGCATGCTCTTATAAACGAAAAACTTCTCCCGCTTGGGAATGTGAGATGAATAGGCTTTGACTTATCATTTCTTTTTAATTTAATAGAGTGATTTAAGAGAAATCGGTGAAGAATCTTTGCCTGAAATAGCAAAACTTGATCAAGTATGAAAAAACAAGGAAGTGGATCATAATCAAATTTCATTTATATATATATATTCAGACAATAAAACCATGTATTGTACAATTACATAAAACTCGCAATGTAACAGCACCAAAAAGTAAGGAAACATCATCGAATAGACCACATCTTTATCGATTGACAATAACGGATGGACATGTTTTTCAAAATGCACTTATTCTACCATCACTTAAAAATTTTAAGTATATTATATAATTAAATTTTTGCTTAAAACCAATAACTTGTCTTTTCTATTTTTTGGATTATTAGTTTAGATACACCACCTGGTGTTAAACTTTTATTAAAACCAAAAACAAAAATTTTACATGGATTTTATATACTAAATGATCAAACATGTGAAGTACTTGGTGGAACAGTAAATGAACTTGTTCGTACATGGAACTTAAATAAAGTTCGAATCTTAATGAAAATTTAATCAGAGAAACTGCTTCTGGGATTTAGTTAGTGGATACAAATGTTCGAACATTAATTGGTGAAGAAGCACCACCACCTTGGGTTCCATTTGGTACTAAACATGCATCAGGAACGACAGGTTGCTTTATAGTTTCAATCGTTGTTTTTTTTTCTTATTATTATTATCTATTATGAATAGTTGATACTTCTAAACGTTCGATAGATGTAGTTAAAATGCAAGAAACTCATGAGGAAGATCCAGAATATGTTCGTCAACGTCGGGCTGCTATTTATAATCTTCTTACCGGTCATATTTGGAAAAAACGAAGACTTACTGAACGAAAGCTTATCAACGGTAAAAATGCAGCAAAAGTTTTTGAAATAGAAAAGCAACAAATGACAGAGAAAAGACAAAAAACGACTTCTACTTCTTCATTGTCAGCATCGATTACCAATGAACTGATAAATATAGCAACATCAACTGAAGCAATTAAAGTTAATAGTCGATGTAAGCAGATGTTTTGAATTGAAACGAATGGTCCATTATCTCTATCATTGTAGTATCAAAACCGAAAAACAAAAAGATTGCACACAAAGCAACTAAAAATCATGGAAAACGAGCACCATCAAATTGTAAACGAATTTCTAAACGTCGACGAGGTGCTGATGGTGAATGCAAAAAAGGCACGTCCAAAATTGAAGATATTACTCAAGTTGATTGTTTTGTTTGATGTGTTTTGAAAATGAATTAGTTTTTTGCATGAAAGTTTATTAGTTTTACTAGTAGAGTTAACAGACAATCATACAAAAAAAAGTCAGATATAGATAGATATTCCGTAAATCAGTTTATTTTTCAGCTACCATTATCTTCTGTAGACATGCAGAATAAATAAAGAGAAAATATAAACTTTTATAAAGCTTGATATGTGGCATTTGTTAAGGGAAGATCGACATACAGCCACCTATTGCATATGTCGCATATTATTAAAAAATATTGTGGGTATGAAAATACTTGTATACAAATCTTTCTAGCACAGAGGACGAGTTTCTGAAACTTTCACTTTGGCACTCAATATCTGCGAATATCATTTAATTTAATTGACATTTGTCGAACAATTTGTGCCAACACATTGCAAATGTTTCGAATTTCTGCTCCTAAATATTTGAAACAAAAGACATACTCAACTGGTTTATTTTGAAAGGATATTTCTGGTGTACTAGCCGCTACTGTGCTATGGATTGACATTGCTTTCGTATTTTTAACATTAAGGTGTAGGGTGTGGATGTGAGTATGACCTTTTCTAATGCGTCACACCCACACCCTAATACATAGGCGGCGGACCCATTAGGCTTGGGGAGGCTCAAGCCTCCCCTAAAAAACGGAGAAGAAGGCTTAGAGAGGCTCATTTAATTTGAAAAAAAGTTGTGGATCTCATCTTTAATTTAAATCATGTAATTATACCTCATATTCATAAAGAAAGATTAGATGAACTAGACTTAAATAGTATCTGCTCTACNTAGATAAAAAATACTCATTTGAATAATAGAGAAACTTCTAACATAATTAGAAACTCAACAATTGATGCCAATATTGATGAAAATTATTTTAGGTTTTATCTAGCTTAATTATTTTCAATCTTCTGTTTCAATATCAAATTAAAATTGGAAGATTTTTCTCCAAATATTATTTTTTTCTGTAAAGTACTATTTGCTTGATCGATGATCAAATGCTATTGCTTAAAACTTTTTTATTCCACGAATAAGACAAAAAAAGTCATTGACAAAAAAATGAGATGAAGAACGAACCAAAATATCTGACTTTATTATCCACATATATTTATATGTTAATGCATAAAAAAAATATCTCTATGTTTTTTTTTGAGATCTTTCGCTGACGTATATAATTTATGTCTTTTTCTTTATGTCCATTATTGTCGGTCAAAATGTCGCCACTATTGTCCAAACCAACGACAGCATTCCGAATGCTGTTGATACTATCACAATTCGATCCGATCTTGCCCAGTTTGAAATTGCTTCTGTTCGATCATTCTAAGAGAAAAAAAACGAATTATAAATATTTAACACTACAAAACTAATAAGAAAAATAGAGATGTTTCAAGAAAAGGGTGTGGGTGTGGGGTGTGGGAATGGGTGTGTGTGTGTTACTGGTGTAGGTCTGTGTATTGTGGGTATGGGTATGAACAAAAGAAATAAAACTTCTACACCCAGCATACCAACACCCACACCCACACCCACTCCCACCCGCAAAATTCTCTACAAACCCTGAACGTTTGAAAGGATTCTGACATGGTCACTGTATGAGCTGGCGAGTCCCGATGGATTTACTCAGTGTTCGATAAGAGTATTGTATTCGCAATTTGCCGAAGGTTGACGATTAGTATGAAAAAATTAAGTAATAGCACCACTCATATACAAACTTGAAAGAGTTTTCATGTATGAGCATACATGTGAGGAAGTCACTGAAGTCTATTTTTGTTGCTTAGAAATATTATGACAAGGGTTTGTTTTGGGATGAAATTAGAATCATTCTTGAAAAACAGTTATGAGATTCATTTGCGAAAGAATTCTTTTGATGTTCGTCAAGGCTTGGTATTTTTTTTTCGCGCAGCAAGCCTTAATGTAAATGTATGACTGTCCACACTTTGTACGACTCCAATCATAAGAAAATATATTATTTTTTCGTGTATGTATATGCATAATTTTCTGCTTAATTAGGCATACTATTTAACTGTACTATTGAATTAGGAGAAAAAGAGCGAAAAAAATCAATTTACTGGTACAAAGAAAAGCAATTCATTCTCAAATTGCTTATAATATTAAATTAACGCACATGGTTGTGTCGACGTCTGTATGTGTAGAAGTATCTTTTCGCTGTACTATTAACGAATCGAATAACAAGGTAGTTAAATGATGTTTTACCAAGGAGAAAAAATGACTATAAAATTAACTTTTCTACTTAGTTTTCGTTGTTACGGTTGGATAGTCGCAAAAAATTACCTGTCAATATCTATGTAAGTATCTTCATGTTTTAGTGCGTCGCATAAGAATCTTCATACATCTCGTACCATTAAAATCGGTAAGAAATTGGTGATTAATCGCGATTCATCGGTAAGATAGTCGTGCACTAAATCGCGATAAAGTCGCCGATTTTTGTGATAAATCATGATTTTAATGTCTTTTTTAATTCTCTATTCACTAATATTCTATACGATTTAATAAATATGCATTCTTGGTTTTACTGTTTATTTAAATTCACAAATATTTTAATTGAAAAGCTGAACGTTAACGTTATTTTGTATAAACATATTATGTAATAAGGACAAAAGTTAAAGTGCAACATCAAGTTGTACATAGTTAGATGAGACGGTATTCGAAAAAATATGCTGAAACTTTCATATGTAATAGCTGTGATTTATATTGAGTTTTCCTTGACAGATATTTTATAGCAGCTTTTTCGCTCATCATAAGTCAAAAATCTAGAAAAATATATAAATAGAAGTTTTAAACGACAAGTATAGAACTACATATGATGGTAATAATTGAAGTCATTGTTATATTGTAGAAAGTAAGGTTTTCTCCGTTTGTATGTATCATAGATATATTTAGTTATATAAACTAGATACTTATGAACAATTTCTAATTTGAAAAATACTTAAACTAAACATACCAAAATAAATAATTTATTATCGAAAGATATATTTTGACGCAAATAAATGTGAAAAAGCTTTAAGTTCGATTGTTTTTGGAAATTGTTCAATCCTATTGATGTGACAGCAGAGATATCTATATCTCATTAAAATCTTTCTTTTTTTATTTCAAATCTTAGTATTTATCTTAAAGAACTGTGTAGAAATTATATTTGATCCACAGTTTGATGAGATTGGAAATGATTCTTGAATCAAATCATAATTCGTAACCAATTATCAAAGTCGGTGATTAAATGCGATTTAATCACTTTGATTTATCACCGATATTTGAAAATCAGTTCTTTTCCAACAATCGTGATTTAACGCCAAGTTTTCACTAAATCACCAAAATTGTGACGATTTTCGTGATATGGGATTACGGTAGTATTCTCGTCGTCGAAATACAAGTTTTCGCACTACTAAAGCAAGTAATGGTATGTGTTTCGAAATGATTATGTCTTCAATAGACTTTTATAACCATTAGTACTACAGTGAGTTTTCTCTCGTCGAAAGATACTATGAATCCTGTATTTATTTATTATCATACCATTGTAATTAGTTTATTAATGGAGAGAAATTTTTTAAATTCATTCCTAGAGGAATGAAAATAGTTTGTTAGTCTTCACGTAGTCTCTTCACAAGGCGTCTATGACTAGAATTATCAATCCAATTGGTTAGATATACGAAAGAAATAAAAACAAGCGGTGTTTGAATTATTTTTTTATTTGAAAAAATGTTATGTTCCTCAAAATTAAATTCAATCGCATGTAGGACAAAAAGATAGCAGAATTTTTGGAGAACAGATTCTCGTTAAGAGTTATTTATTCAATCCATACACTATTGATAATACTTCTAGAGTAGATACTTTTAGTAGAGCTATCTAAATAATTTTCTTCAGCTTGTTTTACTCTACAATCGCTTTTGCAGATCACTATAGAGAATTTACGAAAAATACCGGTTTGAAATACTTTCAGAAGTGCTCACATTCTATTCAAAGGACTGCTTCATGCGAGTCGCTTTCAACAAGAAAAAGAGCACTCCCTTGAATGTGGATTTATGGAATGGTGAGTGTGTTCTCGCCCTTCCTTCCACCACCTCAAACTTATCGATACCGAGATCCCCATCTATACTTCACCCAAACTACGTTCACACTCTAATTTTGGACTCTCAGGTTTCGTAAGACTGAAGCGTGTCCTCTCATTTGCGAACATAAAATCGAAATTAAAAATCTGTTAAATTCAATTTCAGTTGTTTTTTAAATTTAATTTATTCAAATTTGAAATAATTTTAGGCTTTAAATTTTCGGCTTTTAAATTTCGAAAAATTTACGGATAACAATTTTAAATCAAATTAAAATTTCAGTTACATTTTTAAACTTGTTGAAATTTGTAGAGGTTGCTAAAGATTGAGTTTCATTATTTCACTTCAATGACCTGTAATTTGTAGAGAGCGCTAAACTACGATAATGCTTCTTTTCTTTGTAATTACTGCAATTTATAGAGTTCACTAGATATCAATTTTCACTATTTCAATTTATTGAGCTGAAATTTGTAGAGTGCGCTAAAATATAGTAGTGCTTTTTATTTTCTTAATTGACTTCAATTTATAGAGCTCGTGAGACAAAATTGTTACTATAAATATCATCAGCTGTTTTTGCTTTTGAATAGACTATATAATTATGATAGTAAAATGGAATTGAGCATTGAATGGAGATCACTGATTGGGGTGCAAAAGCACTTATACACAAAAATCAAACATACAGAAAATGACATTCTAAAAATGGGAGCTCAGAAATAGAGATGTTAATGACAGTCTTCTCTTGACGAGCACAGCTCGATCGGCTCACATCACATTCGAAAGAAATATCAAGTTATCACCACAAATTAAGATACTATTTCTTTAAAAACTCGCTTTGTGTGCAACTAAAATCGTTCTTAGTTCAGCCAAAATCGACGACCCTTGCTCGTGCACTATGAGTATTAATATATCAATAACAAAAGAAAAAGAACAGAGAGTACATTCTA